TCCCTGCTGTCACCGAAGCCTGGCAAACCGGAAGTTCCCAGTACATGCATGATTATTTAGGGAATAATATGCTGGTCATGTTAGGTTTTAATAAGTTATTTAAATCTCATATTTACATAATTTAAGCTAAGGCTGTGCCCACATTCCTATTTTATATGAATGTATTTATTTTTTTGAAACTTTTGTATAATATTGTTTATATTGACAGCTCCTCTGACAATATAAACAGTTTACAAGAAATCTTCTTAACATTAACCTTACAATTTAAAAAAATGATCTACTTCTGAGTAGATGTATTACAGTTTTATACAGTTCTATAGTATGGTTCTTTACAGTCAAAGCTAAGTAATACTCAACCAGTAATGAAACCTACGAGAGCCAGTTTGGTTTAGTGGTTAAGTCACAAGGCTAGTGAGTGGGAGACTGTGGGTTCAAATCTCATCTTAGCCATAAGATTGTCTGGGTAATTTGGAGCAAATCATTTTTTCTCAGCTCAACCGACTTCACAGGGTTGTTGTTGTGGGGAAGATGTTTACTACCTTGAGTTACAAGTAGTCCTTGACTTAAAATAGTTTGTTTAGTGACTGTTCAAAGTTACAATGACACTGAAAAAAGTGAATGAGAGAGTTAAACTTGGACAACTAGCTGGGAAGTTACTGAGCAAAAGCCCTGTGAGAGGAAGGAACCCTTACCCCTGGAAGCAAGTAGAGGTTCTTCAGGACTCTCCTGAGTCCAAAAACTGTGAATGAAGAAAAAGCCGGTAACACGAGGTGTCCATACTCACTGCAGGGAGCAGTAGAGTCCTCCCAAGTGCCCTTGTGGTCTGAAAACTGCTAGGCAGGAGAATCCTTAACAGGAGGTATCCATACTCTGATAGGGAATGAGAGTCCTGCTGGATCCCTTTTTGGTCTGAAAATGTTTCACTTAAATGTTTCACTTAACAACAGAAATTTGGGCTCAATTCTGGTCATAAGTCAAGGATTATCTGTGATTGTAAAAATAATAAAAGCAGGAAACAAACAAACAAGCAAACAAATAATCTAAAATGGCCTTGGAGAAAATATTAGTAAATATTTTAGTATTAGCAAATCAAGCCAGAAAATCTTAATGAAGTGCATCCCCTTTTTTCAATAAAAGTTAACAATTACACAATTAAAATGAAATGCAGAATACTTCCACTACTTCTGGGGCATGCTACATGTTACATTTGTGTAGCATTAACTTGATCAGGGGTGTCAAACTCAATTTCACTGAGGGCCAGATCAGCATTGTGGTTGTCTTTTAGGGGCTGGGGGAAGGAGGGGAATGGCTGGGGTGGTTGCAGTCAACTGGGTGCCAGCTTGACATTGCTCATGTAGGTAGCACCTGTGGGGGGCGGGCAGGGTTGGAGAGGGAATCCAGGAATCTTGCAGGATGAGATGAACTGAGGAAGGTGACAGAGTAGCTACAGCCAGAAACTGGGCCACCATGTGCTCACTGCCCTTTGTGTGCAGTGGGGATGGTTTCTGGCTGTAGATGTAGCCTGCTGGCCTCTCAGCTAGTACATGCTGTGGCTTTAGAGCAGTGGTTCCCAACCTTTTTTTCGCCCCGCACCCCTAAAGAAATTTCACTCGAACCTCACACCCCCTGAAATAAATAATAAATAAAAATGCCAACATATAGCCAATATCCTATTATTTACCTGGACTTTTCTCGCACCCCCCGGAATATCGTCTCGCACCCCCAGGGGGTGCGAGCACCCCAGGTTGGGAACCCCTGCTTTAGAGTCTGCTACCACAACCGGGCTGGCCATCCATGCAGTAGGCAGAGGCAAGGGGGAGGAACATAATGAAGACAGCTATATGCACTTACTCTATCTCACTGTCTGTTTTAATTCACGGTTGGAGGGCAGGTCGCTGCTGGCCATCTTCTCGGCCACTTTGCAGGTCTTGCTCTTGGCCTCCGCATGGAGCTTGTTCCCCTCACATTATCAATGCACCTCAGCCCTCCCTACAGTGGTGCTGACATGCATGGGGTGCACAAGAGTGGTACTTTGCCAGCAGGCCCAGCAGGAAGTGGGGGAGGGCATGGTACTTCCCCTCCCGCTACCAGACCCAACATGCGGAGCCCAGCCGGACTTTCCCAAAGCCCAGTGGGTGGCAGGGTAGGAAGCGGCACCTGTCCCAAGGCTGGAGGAAGAGGGTCTTTCCATGAGACATGGGCCTTTGAGCCCCAGGCACCAGTTAGGGCAGTGCCCTATCAACTCAGACCACTGCTTACCAAGTGTCTCCATGGGGCAGAAGTATCCCAATCTATGCATGGGCACATCTTTATAGAGTGGTGAAGACTCATTGGGTGGAGTCCCTGCCACCATCCCCTTGCACTGTCTCCTCCGGGTTGGTTGGGAAAGGTCTCTGTGGAAGAGACATGGCAGATGGTACCTGTCACCAGGGGCTGACCTGCTTCATGGGGTTGTTGGTAGTGCTGGAGGGTGGGATCTATGCAGTTCTCTAGAGCACAGGATGCAGGACCTGGAGCTCCTGTCAGTGGCTTCTCTCATTTCAGCCTCACCTCCCAGGCCTCCTGCAACAGTGCTTGAAATGGCTAAGGTACGCCTTCCAGAAATGCCGGCCCAGTGAGGAATTTGCCTGCCATCCTTGACTCAGAACAGAGATGCGGTGGGGAGGTGGGCTGCAAGACAGAAGGCTGACTTCAGCAGGACCATTTCAGTCCTGGGAATGGGTCACACCCTTGGGGGCTCCATTTGAATGAGCTGCATTAGCTGGGCAGCACCCCGAAAATGCTCTGGGGCAGGGCAGGATTCAACTCTCCCCACCAAGCAGCCCCAGTGAAGGGGGGCACATCTACCCCTGACAGCTCCTAAGTGGCAACTCTTCTGCTGTTTGGCAGACCTACCCAGCCCAAAGGAGGCAAAGCAGCCAGCTAGAAAGGCCAAGTAGAGGTGGTAGAGCAGGCCCAGGCCTAAACGACAAGTGGGGAAAGCTTGATCCCCATTGGTGTCATGGCTGCACAAACCCAGCCAGGATTGTGTGCCTCCCATCTCTACTGGGCCTGTGGGGGCATTGTGCCACTACAAATTCAGCTTTTCCCACATGTAGAGGCCGACTTTTGCGGCCATTGCTGCTTGGCAGACTCTCCCAGCCCAAAGGAGGTGAAGCGGCCAGCTAGAAAGAGTATCCAAGCCCAGCAGGTAAATCGGCCACTGGGTGTGGGAAAAGCCGAATCCCTTGTTGGTGCCATAGCCCCCTAGGCCCAGCAGAGATGGGGGAAGCACACGGTCCCTGCCTGGACATGGGCAGCCATGGCGCTGGTGGGGATTTGGCTTTTCCCACTTCCAGGGGCTGACTTTTGCCTGCTGGGCCTGGGCATGCTCTACCACTTCTACTCGACCTTTCTAGCTGGTTGCTTTGCCTTCGTTGGGCTGGGCAGGCCTGATGCTGCAGGTGGTGATGGCAGCGGCCTAAAGGACCTGCGCAAACTGCTGGCAGCCTCTGAGGTGGCAGTGCCCCATAGCAGCACCAAGGTGCATCAGGTACATGAGGGAAACACCCTCCAAATGTAGGCCAACGACAAGACCTGGGGGGGGGGGGGCAAGATGACCAGCAACCTGCTCTCCAACCACAAGCAAAACCAATGGGATGGAGGAGGGGCAAATGGTGTCTCACAGCAGCTGCACCACACCTTGCCTCACCTTGGTGGTGGCAGTAGCCAAGGCAGAGACAGAGGGGAGAGGCACGCAGCCTGCCCTATCCCAGGCATATGGGATGGAGCAGGCACGTCTGGTGATCCTCATCAATTCCTCCTCCCAAGCCTGCTTCTTGGGAGGCCACATGGAGCCCCTGCTGCGACACCTTCCCCCCCCACGCGCGCACAAATATACACCTGAAAGGCCAGAGACACTGGTGCAGGCACAGTGCTTATCTTCAACCTGGTTACATCCACACCAGGATGGGGTGGGCCGGCCCAAAGTAACACTGGCTTACTGCTTGTGTGCATGCCGGGATGGTGTGACATGGGCTGGCCCCAAAGTGACATGGGCTGGCTCCTTAGTTTCCAGGATTGCCATGCGGGTGAAATCCGACCACACTGTAGACCAGATCCAGCCCCCGCGCCTTGAATTAAGAAAATGTGTACTAGTTTTGGGCTTTAACATCTAAGTTTTTTTAAAAAAAAACTCAGGTAAAAGTAGTCGGTCATATGAAAGATGCAAGTTCTAGTTACAAAAATTTGGAAAAGGACAGCAAACCTTTTTTTATGACAAAAATAGAGGTTTATCAGGCTTCCATTCTAATCCCTCTAAAGAGAGACAGAATATTTAGGTTAACATAATGTATTATGTAATACTTGTAATCAGATTTGTTCTGAATCAGCTTTGAATCCACATATTCTATTTTACCCATGATATTATAAAGTGAATTGTTTGCAATTATTGACAATTCTGATAATTTACAGGATTGTGTTTGTTTCAAATTCAAATGTATCTTTACTCAATTGCTTAGAATTGATGTTGTAGAACCAAAAGTTTGTATCTATATGTGCATGCATCTTCTGTCTATCTAGAAATTCACTCCAGCCGTTTAGTGTTGTTCTCTGAGAACTTCTGACATAACGAAGTACGTTCTAAAGCTTATCATGAATTTGCTTAATCTAAATTAATGGTCAAACAAGATATGAGATGTAAGACAAGATATTACACTCTGCTTGGTTATGCTTTAAAAATATAAAATTGTATAGCATTTGAGTGAACACTTTGGTTTGTATACATATTATGCAGATCAGAATGGTTTTAATTTTATGAATTACATAATACTTTTACTTCTTTGAAAACAAATAATTGCAATCCAACAAAATCATTGAAACCTACAAACTCCTTTCTATGTAAGCGTAGAATTATTTTATTTTTCAAGAGAATTTAGATTGATGATGAAAAGCTTTAAGATACTTCTAATTAATAAAACAGAGTGGACTCAAAGAACATTCCATTGCTGAATACAAAAATATTGCCACTTTAAAAACAATAAGTTAGTTTATTTTATAATAGTTTACACTATTTTTGTCAGACTTTTCCCACTAAATTGTGATGCCTCACTCATGTATGATTTCATAATTTTGCACAAAGCATCTCCAACAACATGTCATCCATATTTACTGTTCCAATAATGGGCCTGAAAAAAAGTTCTGCAATAACACTGGCATTAATTGATCCAAGTATGGAAAGAGCCACATTTAATTTAGCAAATCTATGCTGGTCTTCTTTGTGAATCAGTCTGACATGTTCATTTAGGGCTTGTTGTGCTTCTTGCTGCAGTCCTTGGATGTACTGCACACAGTGCAGCCCTGGCAATTCTAAAAGGAGAGATGGGAAGAAGAACAGGACATAAATATTTATCTCTTTCACTTGTAATATAAACAATTTATATTGGATCATTTTGCTATTAATAAATTCGTGTACTACATTAAACCTTCTGACTAAGGTTATATATTGAAAGAAGTATGTTATGATGCCGATAGAGTAATATAAAAACAGTTACATGGAAGGTATTTCAATCTACTCACCTCTAGAGATACTAAAACTTGTATGAAAGAAATATTTCTGCAAAAATATCTCTTCACATAAATACACTGACATCTATGTTTAATAAAGTGTTTCACTAAAATTCATTCTTATGTATAAAAATGGTCATTGCAACGTTTTTTTAAAAAAGAGGCTTTCCAAACAACCTGTTAACTCCAATACAACCTGTACTCTGCAAAGGTATTTCTGCAGTTGCATGTAGCAAAAAGGAAGCTCTAAATTAAATTAACATGTTTACATCTGCACCTCAGCTCAATACTTTGCAATCTTGGATGATAGGATCTCCCTCTTAATTTTGCCACCTAGCACTTGCTACAGGATATATATTATATTTACACCATTTTAGAATTTTTTAGAATAGTTCTATTTTAGAAGACAGCACTGCTAGGTTCTGACTGTTAAAATTCATAGAAAATGGTAAAATGGTAAAACACCTGATAAATAACACAGAAACTTGATATGAGTGTTTTTCTCTCTTGTCACTGTTCCTTAAGAGCACCATTATTTACAGTTTTAATAATAAATGACTGTAATCTCAACTAACTTGGATGTTTTAAGATTGCAAATATTTTTTCAGATTATTTAGTCCCTAGTATCTTTAAGCTTAATGTATTCAGTATTTCATTCCACACTACATAATTCAATAAAGTTTAAATCATATCCTTCCACAGCACATATCTAAAAATGTTATTCATTAATCAAAATGAACCTTTATTTTTTATTAAATCTTTAAATGAATATCTCATTTGCTGAAGCAAATCTAGGGCTAGTTTTATAACATGAATTTGAGGTAAATTCATTTTTCCCCTCAATATACATACAAAACAAATCTCACATAGAATTGTTTTTATTTTTCAAAATCCAAACTTAACATGTTTTATAGTTAGCAATATACTGATTATAGTTCCCACGGAGTTTTGGGAAGTAATTGTTTTGAATTACTTCGTGTTGTCTGCATACAACCCTTGTGAACTGATATTTGCTTCCACACCAAGTATCATCAGAAGACTGTTTTTTCCAACATTTCAATTCACAAAATTCCAATTCTCACCATGAGCTCTCTATCACCTGGTATGAATCCAAGAAGCTAATGACTACTACTATTAGACATTTAGCTTAGTAAGATTTTAAAAATACAGAATATGGACTCCAGCAATCTAACGCTCAATAGGTGCATTTCGATACCTGCCAGTCCCACCTAAATCCTTAGGTCCAGTTATTGAATGTTTTTTTAAAAGATTCTTTTGCATGTATGGGCAAAACTAGACTAGTCGAATTTCCTCCCAAGCTACAGAGGAATACTATTAGAAAGTCAGGCCCTTTCCGTTACCAGATATCTTCCAGATGAGTTGGAGTTCCCAATGGGAGGTTTAAGGCCAACACAACTGGGGGTCCCCCAACTTCGAGGCCTGTCCAGAGTCATACCCAGGCACTACCAAAAATGGATGGCTTACCCGGATTAAAGAGAACCGTCCCCTTGAGGTAGGCATACTCCTTGGTGCTTATGTCCAAACTCCAACATTTGGCCAAAAAAACTTTGATGTTTTGGATCTCTGCCGCCGACGGTAGCTTGGCGGTGCCGCTGCTTCCACTGCCATTCCCACAGCTCTGCTCCAACTCCCCCTGCGTCTCACGGAGCAACTGGAGCTGCCTCCGCCGCCTCTGCTCTTCATCGCAGTGCTTGTTGGTCAGTATCGTGTGGAGCATGCTGAGCTCCGTGGTCTCTACCGTCTCGAAGTGCACTCGATCCTGGGCCAGCCCCAGAACCAGCAGGGGAGCCCAACAGCTGCGCACCAGCACCAGCTGCTCGTCCAAAGGCAGCTCCTGAAAGCAGGGCACGTTTTTGACGAAGCGCAGCGTTTTCACCAACACGGCCGAAGCCGCCTTGCACGCGACCTGCGGGTGCTTGAGGGCTACGCGCCTCTGCTTGCCGCAAGAGCAGCCGAGCGCCGGCGCGTAGGGCCCCTGGCCCGGCTGAGGCGCGGGCTGCTGCCGGCTGCTCTCTTCCTCCTCCTGCTGCTGCTGCTGCTGCTGCTGCTGCTCTTCGCTCTTCAGTATGTTGTAGAGAATGCTGCTCTGTCCCTGGGAGTCCGTGCAGCACCTACATCTGTCCATGCACGCCATATCTCCAAGGGGAGGCAGCAGCGGACTGTGAGGGAGGAAGAGCGGGGAAGCGACGTCCCTTCGGCCCTTAACTTTTATTTATAGTGCGCGGATAACCGCGCTTTGCGGCGCTGGACTTCAAAGGTGCGGGCGCTTGTTACTGGCTGGGAGGAGAGGACAGGGCGGAAAACAAGACGAAAAGCGACCTTAAAAACTCCACCTTCTCCCCTCCCCTCTTACCAGCTATAGAGAAAGAGAGCGCTTATATTTGTCTTTGTTCTGGGCTTGCAATCTGCCGCTCGCGTTGCTTGGGAAAATATTTCCTGATTCCGTTGTGCCTCCTCCTAGCCCTCCCCCCAGTTAAAAAATAGCTTTTCGAACAAAACGGAAGGGGCAAAAAATTCAAATCTTTCTACTCTATCATTCCCCCCTCTATCTATTCCTCAATTGGAGACCTGAAGTTTAGGAAAGCTAAAATAAAAGATAAACAAACTTCAGGGCATTAAATTGGCACTAAACAGGCTTTTGGGGAAATTAGCCAAGTGTTGTCAGATGAATATTTCTTTCTGGGTTTGCATAAGACGGTTGTAATGGCACAGGCACAGTAATTTAAATATCTATCTATCTATCTATCTATCTATCTATCTATCTATATCTATATCTATATCTATATCTATATCTATATCTATATCTATCTATCTATCTATCTATCTATCTATCTATCTATCTATATATATATATATATTTACTGTGCCTGTGCCATTACACACACACACACACACACACACACACACACACACACACACACATATAATTTTATTCATAAACATTTTTAATACAGTGTCAGAAAAAAAAACTCAAAGCATGCCACATTAAATATTAACACATAGATAACTGTACTAATAATAACACATCATAGTAATAATATCACTAAGTTTCTTTTTATATTATCTTATTTACAATTTTAGTAGTTTTGATTATAATTATAAACCATCTCTATTTTTGATGCATAAATTCATCGTGTTTCTTCCTCTAATTTCTACCTCTTGTCTCTAACCTTACATAAAATCTATTCCGTATCAAATAGTATTTGTGTCTTCTTTATCATTTATTTTTAAGGTTAATCTATCCATTTCAGCACAGTCTAAAATTTTCAAAATTCTGATGGGGTATTCTCATTTTTCCACTATTTTGCAAAGCTAATCCTTGCTGTCAATATATGTAAAACTAAATATGTGGTCCCTTTATCAAAACCCTTTGGTATTATGCCAAGCAAGTGTACTTCTGGTTTCAGGTCTATATTCTGTTTAACTTTTCCAGCCAGCTCCTTATTTTCTCCCATTATTTTCTTGCTTTGATACAAATCCGCCATATATGATAGTATGTACCTGGGATATGGTTACATTTCCAGCATTTTGCAGACAAATTACTAAACATTTTTACCAATCTTGCTGATGATAAACACCATCTATAAAACATTTTATATAAGTTTTCTTTATATGCCAAGTCTATAGTCAATTTATAGTTTCTGTCCCAAAGTTTTTGCCATCTCTCTAATTCTATATTGTAACTAAAGTTTTTTGCCCATACAATCATTGTTTCTTTCACTTGCTCCTCCTTCATTTTATGCATCAATAAGTAATTATATATTTTATTAATTTTTCATCTGTCCCCATTAGTATCTTATCTAGTGCTGTTGGTTCTTTATTGAGACCCCACGTTTTAATGTCTTTCTCATATCTTGATTGTATCTGGAAATATGGCCACCAAGCCAAGTCCACCCCATGACTCTAGTCGTTGCCTAGTTTTTAGTTCAGCATTCTCATTCAAAATATCTTTATAGAATACATTTTTTCTAGATTAATGAGATTTGGATATAGTAATGCTTCCATAGTAGAGAGCCAGACTGGTATTTTCATGTAATGCTGTAATTTAATTTTTTCCCATATGTGAAGCAGCACGTTCCTCACATAAAGCCTTGATCTCCAACTAGGTTGGCATGCCTTCCTATGGTATGGTAGGAGCACGGTGCACAGATATCTGTGCACCGTGCTCCTACCATACCATAGGAAGGCATGCCAACCTAGCTGGAGATCATGTCCCTCTAATAATAACAGCCTTCTGTGTTTCAAATGTACCCACTCTTTTATCCATGACACTTGATAGTATAATTCCCAGTCTTGGAGACCAACCAATCCCCCCATCCCCCCGGTTACTTTTAGATTCCTGCAACATTTTCAATTTTATTCTCGCTTTTTTGCCTTGCTATATGTACTTCAAAATTGTTCTATTTAATTCATCAAAAAAAATTCTCTAATTTTATTGGTATTATTTGGAATAGGAAAAGTAATCTTGGTAATATATTCATTTTCATGGCTGTTATTCTCCCTAACATAGATAATTGTAGGTTCTTCCACCTTTCCAAGTCCAATTTAATTTGTTGCATTAGATTTATTTATTTATTTATTGAATTTATATTGCCACCTATTCGCCCATGGCAACTCGAGGCGTCTTACAGAATGTAAAACCATATTTAAAATAAAAAACAATAAAAACTAACAAAAACAATCAAATAAATTATTAAAGTACAATAGAACAAAATCTAGGGAAACGCAGATGAATTTAATTTAGCTCCAATTCGAATAGACTCTGAGCAGCATACCAAAATCCATTAAAACAATTAACACATAAGACCACATGGACAACCCAAAGTAAAACAATCTTCTAAACGATACAATTTTTAAAAAATCTTACATATTTTTGGCATGAAACAGGAAAAAATGCACTTATAATTTGTGATTTTGATGAGAAAGAAAATTGGATAATGGGAATTTTTTAAAAAAATTTCTATTAGTTTTCTCTTTACATACAATATATACTTAATGAACAGTTAAGGTTTTTTCCTGCAAAGGAAAAGGGAAGCTTCTTTCTATTTTTTTTTGTTTTTTTAAATTTTTTCTGAAACTTTTGCTTTTCCTTCTGAAATAAATTTAATTTGTCAATTTGTTTTAGTTTTATGTATTCTGTAAAACTTTAATAAAAATCTTAAAATAAAAATAAAATAAGGCACCCAGAAATGTAATAATACATCAACACTTGGCCTGGGACAAAAAACAGGTTTTAAAAGCTTTCCAAAACCCTAGGAGAGAGGTTGCAATCCTTATCTCTGGGGAGATGTTCTGGAATTCCCAACTTTCAAAGTACATATGACAATTTGATAGTATTGACCCAAACTACTTCTATGGTCAAGGATTGCATTTCTATAATAATTAACTTCTTTTTATTTTTCAATTATCCAGTGAGCATCAACATTTTTTATTCTTTAGCCTTTTGTTTAATGCCTGTTTAAAAATTTTCCTTTCTTTGAGGGTTTACTTGAAAAACTGACATAAAGTTCTAATGATACTAAGCATTATTTTACTAATATGCGATTTTAAGAATGTTAAACAATAGCTTACACACTTTGTTAACATTCCTATAGGATGTTAAAATGTAGACTAACTTTGAACTATAGATTTGCTAGCCACTGTGTGATTCTTTGGATTTATCTGCATAGTTTGGTTAGAATTTTTCCAGATTATTTCTCTGTTCCTTGGAATATAACTAAAGAGACATTTTCATGTAGACTTCCAATGTGGTAATGACTGGAGTTCTCATCTATTGTCAACTGGCTTTTTGTAAATAGGGAATATCTTTTAAGTTATCTTGGATTTTGACACCTCTACATAATTTCAATATATTTCCATCTTTATTTGGTATTCTTAAAATTAGTTACTTCTGTCTACTGGCATCCTTTAGTGTACCAATTTAAAAATGGAAAAAAATGTTACATATCTGTCAGTTTACCTTCAAAATTGCATTAATTTAAATAGAGTGGTGGAAAGGGAACTTCACGAGGACAGTGGTGTCACCCAAGCAGGAAAAGCCCAAAGGGAACATCAAGCCAGCCATAAAACAAACTTGCATAGGAAAAGGAATCAAATAAAAGGTATTAAAGAAGCCCCTTAGACAAAAGCCCAAATAATTAAGAAAACTAAGGAAACAAGAAAAGAAAACCCTTACAAACACAAGATATGCCAAATCAGCAAAACAAACAGAGAAAAGACACAAAATACATTGCAAAGGAGACAGACAGGAGATTGCCACAAAAGAAATATAAGAAACCATTAAGCAAAAAAAAAAAGACTAGGATGAAACTGATAATCCAGTCAAACCACCCTGCGGAGTTTACCCTCCTGCGGAAATGAAGACAACCCCTGACAGGATTTAAAACATTAAGAAATACAAACACAAGCACACACACACAAAAGGAGAAAAGGTATAAAAAATCAGGGGCTTATCATACAAAGCTAGCTAGCCCCAGGAACGCAGACTTCTTGCTATCTCTTGCCTTCCTGAAAATAAAAAGATCCAGCTTTCAAGCAGTTGTCTGTATCCTTGCACCGGAGCTCTCCCAGCAGGAAAATTGAATCCTCAGAAGAAAGGCATTTTCCAAGCCTTTCAAGAGAGTAATCTAAAAATTAAATTAAATTAAAAATTAAATTAATTTAAAAATTAAAGAAAAAGAAATGCAAGAAAGCAAAATGGCTGCCTGAGGAAGCTTTGCAAATAGCTGAGGAAAGAAGGGAAGTGAAAGGCAAGGGAGAAAGAGAAAGATACACCCAATTGAATGCAGAATTCCAGAGAATAGCTAGAAGAAATAAGAATACCTTCTTAAATGAACAGTGCAAAGAAATACAAGAAAATAATAAAATAGGGAGGACCAGAGATCTCTTCAAGAAAATTGGAGATATGAAGGGAACATTTCATGCAAGATAGGCATGATAAAGGACCAAAATGGCAGGGACCTAACAGAGGCAGAAGAGATTAAGAAGAGGTGGCAAAATTACACAGAAGAACTATACAAGAACAAGCCTAACATCCCTGATAACCATGATGGAGTGGTCACTGACCTTGAGCTAGATAGGCTAGAATGTGAAGTGAAATGGGCTTTAGAAAATCTGAGCAACAACAAAGCTAGTGGAGGTGACAGTATTTCCAGCTGAGCTATTCAAAATCTTAAAAGAAGATGCAGTAAAAGTGCTACACTCAATTTGCCAGCAAATTTGGAAAACTCAACAGTGGCCACAGGATTGGAAAAGGTCAGTTTAC